TACCTCAAGCTCGGCGAAAGACATGAAAGAAAGAGAGATACTAACGAACAAACGTTCTAAACATTTTTTTGGGACACCCTGTAGAATGTGGGAATTTTAGAAGTACGAAGGTTACAAAGAAATCCTGTCGACAGTGAAAACATTTACGTAATATCTCAAGATTTCGAGCGTATTTAGCAGAAACTATTTCATGTTTTTTAGCGTTGCTTTCAAACGAGTCATAAGCGCTCTCACACGAAACTAGCACAAATAGCGGGTACCAGTGAATGCATTGGCACTTAATTTCTCATGATTTCATCATTCAAGAAAGTTCACTTATTGTATTAAGATAATAAAGTACCTTCTGATGTTATGCACTTCGATTGCTTTTTCGCGTAAACGATCTGTCACTCCTTTGTTACCTTTACATTTGGTGTTTTCTCCTTCATCTGGAATAATAAAAGTCATTTACTTTATGGACCACAATATATCACGCATATATCGAATGATATCAAGCTAATGTAAGTCATTTCTTTTCTAAAACATTTTTTGGTATTAACCTGGATTTGGAGCTGGACCCGAATACTTGCAGAGACCTGTAGCTTTCTCACATTTAGAAGCAGGGTACATTGTGCAGTCTTTTGCTTTCTTGCACATCTCTCCTTCCTCGTACAGGATATTGTTTGGATATGCACCTCTAGAAGTCCATAAAATGCTTTGCAGAAAACGTGCCTCAGTGTACTATTGTCGCCTTAAACTTACATCAAATTGTAGATGCATGATATTATAACCGTTTCGCCTTCATCCTTATATCCGCATCCAAAGCGTAACGTTTTTGCATATATCATCTAGAAGCTCTCAGTATCATTGATTCAAGGATAGATGCACTTACATTCGCGAATGTGTAGAGACGATCATCGTCGTATCTGTTCTCTTCGTTTTTGATACCGTAAAAGAGCACAGGATTGGACCAAGACTCCAATGCGTGCAGTATATCCTTGTCTCTGTTTTCGCTTTTTGTGAATCTTAAAGGGTTTTTGCGCTGAGAGATGATAGTGAGCGACAGACAAAAATTGCTGTTAAAGCTATTAGCACAGTTAATTCTTACTTATCTTGTCATCACGCCAAACTTTGGCTCAAGAAGGTAAATACAAAATGACGTACCTGGCAACATTTTGTCCATAACCATTATCAAAGGTAATGCGCACAAGGTTTTTATCAAGTTCTGCCTGTACTTTCCCTTCCATTTTGCAGTCGTATCTCTATATAGTGTTAAAGAATCAATAGCAATTGCTATGAGGGGACTATTCTGAGAAAAGAACTCACAAGTTTGTACATATTCTTTGCTGAAGAGAGGTTTCCCTTATAGTTTTTGGCTTTACCTTGAGAGACATTTGCTCTAAGCTCGTTGTGGTAGTCAAGAATAGTTTTGCGTTCCCATTCGGTAAATGGTGCTACTGCTTTATCGCCACATACTGTAAGTACCCGGTATTTAATTAAGGTCAATACTACCTCCATCAGTTTTCAAGCCGCGACATTTTTCAAATCTTTCTCATTTTTATCTAGTTCGATCAATTTATACGTAAATCAGGATTTGCGCCTTCATTTAAATATCGCATTGCGATTGTGCTCCATCACCACAAAAAGTTAAAAATGCGAGTTCAATCTTCAGATAGCTTTTGCAACTGTGTGACTAGACAAAATCTCGTAAAGAATTTTTTGTAGAAACCGTTATCTTATTCATAAACAATCAACTATTGACTGGTAGTCACGCTTGCCTGCCTTGTTCGGTAGGCAATTTTGACTTGAAGCGATTCTTTTGTATCGCAAATTCTCTTTCATAAAGACAGTAACATCAACGACCACGCTGATTTGAGTAGTCTGCCTTTTGGAACCAAGGCCTGCTACAGATCAGTCAACATTTTTCAGATAAAATCACGAACGCTACCTTCTTCAAAATACCGACGGTAGTCTGTGAGGCTGACAAATTAAATGGAAGTCATTTTTAGTCCCAGCGCAAAAAATAACTTCCGACCTGGGCTTGTCCCAGAATAGTAATCCATTTCAAAATCATAGGTTGACACACCACACACAACGTGATATTGATTGCTTGACACACCATGCGTGCGAAGCGGTTGTCAATGTGTTGAATTTTTTAAGGTATGTCTTCGCAAATCTCGATCTGGATAAAAATACTACCTATCATTT